GCTGAAGACTCAAGAGACACTCCGTTGTAGATATCGAGCTGCATATGGTAGAATAAGTGCATCGTATAGGGGTGAGTACTACATTCGGGCTGAGCTGGACCATGGGCTGACTATCACTAATGGCAACGTCGTATGGTAGTGCTCTTCGTGGAGTAGAGTGGCTAGCAGTGCACTGTGGGAGCAGGTACTGTATGCAGATATGGCCGGATGCTGTGATCGATAAGCTGGGGACGAGATGGAGGCCTAGGTCTAATGCAGTGGCTCGCGGGAAAACCCATGACCATAAGACTCAAGGGGAGAAGGGAGGGGTCTATGTTGCTGACGAAGGCCACAATGCGGTGGCCTGTGGGACGGCGTATATCGTCTATGTGATGGGGTAAGGGGCTCTGGTAGGTATTGGATCACCGATGCTGTGCCGAGCTGTGATGCCCATATTGGCTGCGATGGCAGCCGGTATACCCGATGCCAAGATGGTAGCTAGCTGTGCTCCGGAGTTCGACATCTTTTGGGAGTATGTTGGCTGGAATAAGCATATGCCGCCACCGGAGGCCCCTCCAGGTTGTTTGCTATAGGGGTTGGGGCGGTCAGTGGTTGTCAGGCAAATCCGATGGCACTGGGAGATGGCGGAATTCGAGAGCGTATGATCAAGAGAACAACGAGGACGACACGTTCATGGCTACACTGTATGCTCTGGCTATCTCCTGTGGCTCGAATATTGTGGCGCGTGGCCCCATCAGGTTCATGCAGGAGAATGATGCCTTGCTAGAGCAGCTGTGGTGCAGCGTAGGAGAGTATAACCGTACCGCTGGGCATTGGACGGGTGGCAACTGCAACCCTGGGGTGTCTTGGAGTCGAGATGACTTCGTGGACCAGCTCATGCTATGGTGGCCCTTTGCCCTTATAGAGGAGGTGGGTTGTGGCATCCAGTGGCGTCGCATAATAGTGTTGGCCCACAGGTAGGAAGGTTCCGGTACCGTCCAGAGTTTATGGACAAGGGTGGAGTATACCTAGACCTGGGAGGGTACTATACCTGTGTGCAGACGAAGGAAGCCTGGGCTCAGGTGGGCTGGCTGCCCTTTAGGACAGGGGTTCTCCATAGCATGTTCCTTATCAGGCTATGATGTGTATGCTTAGTTCGATAATGTGTGGTATACCATCGGAAATAGCAGCTCTTCTACCAGCTTGCGACCCCTTCTGGGACCTGGTCGTCGACATTAAGGGGCCAGAGGCTGTGAGAGCCCAGCGGGAGTAGGCCGACCAGAGCTCCTCTGAAGTTGCTGCCAGTCTTCTTGTTATCAGGGCAATCAGGGATGCCCGTGATAGCCGCTTCGGCGAGGCTTGGCAGAGACAGCGTTTCTTCAAGCTCTACGGCAGTACGTGTGAATTCAGACCTTCTGTAGGCTACCTCATCGTACTTCTTGATCGGCTATGATTCAGCTGCCGAGATCTCGACAACTCGTTGGAACTCATGGGAGCCCTAGCAATGAGAGTAAACCAAAGAAGGCCGGCTTTGATAAGAGTATGAGCGACCCCACGGCGGCTCTTGCACATGACTTTGTAGAGGCACCGGCCTCAGCGAGGAGCTCATCTCCAACGACTACGTCCGAACATGGGGACATCCGCCCCTGCAAGGAGGTTGTGTTTGCGGCTATTGACTACTTCCATGACCAGCGAGATGTGGCCCGCATGAAACGGGGGGAAAAGTTCTATTGCCAGTAGGACTGTATCTCGTGCCTCCACTGAGAGTCTTTTCTACGACTAGATATGAGACACCAGATCTGTACCTTGGGTCGAAGCCTGGTGATGGTCGGCAGGTGTGGCTACCCAAGTTTGTGGTGACAGGCAACCTGTGTGGCGTGCGCGGCGGTTAGGGTTGGTCGGCGTTGTGTACGTGGCATG